ATGTACATTCATGGCCAAAAGTTTTGGCAGACATAAATTTAGCGTTTTGCAAAATTTGTAGATTATTTTTTATTGATTAGTTTCTATGGTATAATGAAAAACCGTTTTAAAGGCTTTTATTGGCAAAAATATATAATGAGTCAATATTTACAGTGCTGACCCTTGTTCTTCATAACCTCTGCAATTCACTCTGGCATGCTGAATATTATCTTCTGGGCCGAATCCTGACGGATGGCGATTCATTCCTGCCTTATTAGTTCTTGTAGTTGATCAAAATTTGTGGGCTTCTGCTTGTCCACTCGCCTTTTGAGGACTGACAACAGGTTCTCTATGGGATTGAGATCCGGGGAGTTGCCTGACCACGGATCCAAAATTTCAATGTAATGATCTTCGAGCCACTTCTTTATCACTCTTGCTTTGTGACATGGTGCTCCATCATGATGGAAAACGCACGGATCATCACCAAATTGGATCGTTGGAAGAAGTCACTCTTGCAGGACGTTTTGATACCATTCTTTATTAACGGCAGTGTTTTTGGGCAGAATTATGAGAGAGCCCACTCCCCTGGTTGAAAAGCAACCCCACACATGGATGGTCTCAGTATGCTTCACTGTTGGCACAACACAGGACTCATGGTACCATTCACCTTTTCTTCTCTGAACAATCGATTTTCCAGATGTCCCAAACAGTCGGAAGGAAGCTTCATCAAAGAAAATAACTTTGCACCAGTCTTCTGCTGTCCAATCCTTGTACTTCCCGTAGCATTTCAGTCTGTCCTTGACGTTTTTCTTGGAGAGAAGTGGTTTCTGTGCTGCCCTTCTTGACACCAGGCTGTTGTTTAAAAGTCTTGGCCTCAGTGTGTGTGCAGATGCTCTCACCCCAACCTGCTGCCTTTCCTGAGCAAGCTCTGCACTGCTGGTGACACGATTCCGTAGCTGCCTCCTCAGGAGGAGACGGTCCTGGTGCTTACTGGACATTCTGGGACGTCCTGAAGACTTCTTCACTGCAGTCGAACCTCTCTCCTTGAAGTTCTTGATGATCCGGTAAATGGTTCGTTCATGTGTAATATTCTTTGTAGCAATTTCCTTGCATGTGAGGCTATTTTGATGCAAAGCAATGATGGCTGCACATGTTTCTTTGGAGGTAACCATTGCTAATCAGAACAATGATTGGAAGCGCTTCTTCCCTCCATCAGTCTGCTCTTACAATCTAATTAGTATGATAGTGATTTTATCTGACTAGTACTCATTCACACTTTCACCTGTGCTGCTGATATGATTAGTCAATTGATGTTAGATGGTCATTTTGTGTCAGGATCAAAAAACTGTGAAATTAGTTTTTATGTGAAAAGTTTTTTTTTTTCGGCCAAATGCAGTTGTTGTGTAAATTAATGCCCAAAACACATAAAAGGTTTTCCTTTATTGGTTGAAAATGTTGCATATATATACTATATATATACCTTCTACAGTACTTACAGGACACTTTATTATGTAGAACTTGCTAGTTCCAGGTTGAACCCTCTTTTGCCTTCATAGATTCAGAATGGTGCTGAAAACATTCCTCAGAGATGTTGGTCTGTGATATGATAATGTGTTATCCTGCTGGAATTAGCCATCACAAGATGGTACACTGTGGTCATGAAGGGATGGAGATGATTAGCAACAATTAATATTGAGGTAGGCTGTGGCATTTAAATGATGTTCAGCTGGTACTAAAGAGCCAAAAATGTAGAAAGAAAATATCCCCCACACCATTACACCACCACCAACCTGAACCATTGATTAAAAAAAGGATGGATTCATGCTTTCATGTTGTTTATGCTAAATTCCGACCATACCATCCGAATGTCTCAGTAGAAATCAAGAATCATCAGACCAGGGAACCTTTTCCCACTCTCCTTTGGTGAGCCCATGTGAATTGTAGCCTCAGTTTCCTGTTCTTAACTGACAGGAGTTGCACCCGGTGTGGTGTTCTGCTGCTGTAGCCCATCTGCTTCAAGGTTGTGCATTCAGAGATGCTCTTCATACATCATTTGTAGGAGTGGTTATTTGAGTGACTGTTGCCTTTCTCTCAGTTCAAACCAGTCTGGCCATTCTCCTCTGACCTCTGGCATAAACAAGGCATTTTCGCCCACAGAACTGCTGCTCACTGGATATTTTCGAATCAGCCTCTGAAATCCGTAGAGATGGTTGCGCATGAAAATCCCAGTAGATGAGCAGATACTGAAATACTCAGACCAGCCGTCTTGCACCAAAAACCATGCCACATTTAACATCACTTAAGTCCTTTTCACTTAAACCCCATTCTGATGCTTGGTTTGAACTTCAGCAGATCTTCTTGACCATGTCTACATAAATGCACCAAATTGATGGCATGTGATTGACTGATTGGATAGATATACTTAATATGATTTGCTGAATTTGCAGCAGCCATTACTCCAGTCTTCAGTGTCACATGATATAATTTTAATGTGCTGATTTGCTGTACAAGAAACATTTCTTATTATTCTCAATGTTGAAAATAAGAACAAGCATAATCAGAAATGTTTCTTGAGCACCAAATTAGCATATTAGAATAATTTCTGAAGGAGCTATGATCAAATAAATTCAGCCGTTGTGCAAGAGACTTGTTTAAAAAACATTTTAAAATATAATTATTCCAACATTTGACTGCCAGCTATAGTGTATATATTATTAAATTTATATTTATTTTAAATAACATTCTATGGATCCCTGTTGTACTTTACTGGACCCCTGAAAACCATGCTACAAGTGTCTGATCACGCTCTGTTGCTCCAAATCCAAGCAATTAAACGCTCCTTCCGCCCGTGCGCCCGAGGGGGTTTGATCAGGGTCACTTGTGTGCTATCGAACTAACCTGACCTTCTTCCAGTGATCTAATCACCCACAGAGGGGTGCCACGCAGAGTAAGAACGAAGATACAAAACACGCACACGCACCTCGACTCTACATGGCTGCTTTACACATGAAATGTCCCTTTTAACGGTTAATTTCCATGAAGCGTGAGTAAAACTCAGCACCAAGGAAGAAAGCTGGTTATCCGTGACAGCAGAAGTCATTATTCGGAAACTCATTACATACCGTTCACGTGAGCAGAGCGTTAAATCGCTGGATTGGCTCGAGCGAGGCCTTCAGTATGGAGACGGATGAATGCATGCTTGATTTATGTTGGATTAGGCTGCTTGTTTGATGGTTATCTTCGTTTTGCACAGTTCACGTGTTTAAGAACCTTTCATCTCTCTGAAGCTCCTACTTTTCAAATGCAGCTCAAACAAAAAATCCCTGTACTACATTATTCATCTTAATTTGCCTGAGTATGTCAGACTGAATTTGTTGGTAATTGCAAGAGGTGTTTCTATGCTGCGAAATTTGAAGAAAGGCTTCTCTTTCAACACTCATTCGTAAAGTCACTATTACAGACACACATATCAGACATATCAGTGCTTTTTAAGGTTTAATGCCCATTATTGCTACTACCAATGAATATGAAATCATGACTTGATTTAAAATGATCTTACATGTAGACCTAAAGGTTCTACTAAAGAAAATAGTCTGTCACAAAAGAAAAAATAAATCTACCAAGAGGTCAAACACTAGCGCTATTTACTCTATTTTCACCATTGGACAGTAAAACAGCTATGGTTATCATTTGCGAAACCCTGTTTATCCAATAATTAATATTGCATTGTTATTTCAGTTGGTAGCTGTAGAAACCATTTTGAAAACTATTTTAAGTGGCACTGGTATGAAAAGAGTGATATCTTGTTATCAGTATTAGCCTACACAGAAAAATCTGACAACTCAGTGCTTCAACTGACCAAACAAATACAAGAATTACAAACAGCTGTGTAATAAAATATAAAACTATTTTTTTTAAATCAATATGCTGCAAAGTAATGCATATTGAATCCTACCAAAAGAAGGCACAAATTCTTACCTATAATAAATCATTATATTATCAGTCAATGCTTCTTATAAGCTGCCAACAATTTGACATATTTTCTTTGATCAAGATGTATATTGAATTTGTCATGTTGTGTTAGTGAGCTCACACCCCGTGTCAAACATTCTGAGCGATCTAATTAACACATTCAAGTAATTAAAGCACAGAGAAGCTGAAATTCAGCTTTGTGAAAGGTAACACACGAATAATGCATGGTTTTGAAAACCGTGTTTATTAGGATCACTGAATAGTTAATCAGTTGGTGTGAATTAATATGATTGGTGTGAAGCGTTTCAAATCTATGTGAAGGGTTTTTCAAAAGGATTGCCTGATGTATGTTTCATTTTTACCAACCAGCATCTTCAAAAACTGTCTCTGCTTAGATGATTTACAGAGTAGTTTAACACTAACCATGATTTAAACAGAAAAGCAATCAAGCTCCTGCTAAGTTCTAACTATCTACAAATGTAGACTTTAAATGTTGGAAATTAAATGAACTTCACAGAGACTCAGCCCATTTCTAGCATGAGCAAAGGCGGCTAGACTGAAACTGCGTAATAGGTCTTTATTGCTGACACCACACTATAGGAACATTATGGGCAGTGAAATGATTCACTGAGGCAGCCTAAGGGACATTTAAATTAAAATGAAAGCTCAGTGATCACCAGGACTGCTTAGAGTAATTTCATAAAAGATATGCTAAATTTACCAAAGATATTTAATAATAAGACTTTCAGAATTTCTGTTAAAACTGAGTTCATCAGATATCTTAAAGGGATAGTTCACCCAAAAACGTAGCTCCATAAAATTACAGTTGAACCATTGATGTCACATGGATAATTTTAATGATGTTCTTACTACCTTTCTGGGTCTTGAACGTGTCAGTTGCATTGCTGTCTATGCAGGGTCAGAAAGCTCTCAGATTTCATAAAAAAAATATCTTAATTTGTGTTCCAAAGGTGAATGAAGGTTTTATGGGTTTAGAACGACGTGGTGGTGAGTAATTAATGACACAATTTTCATTTTGGGGTGAACTGTCCCTTTTAAATGCTTTTACTGTTTAAAAAACAAACAAACAATGAAGCAGACACAGGTGGGAAATCAATTAAGACTTTAATTATACTATTTTAAGTTTACTATATGACTTGTATATGATAGTTGACAGAGTTTTAATAAATTACTCAATAAATATATCAGATCAAATACTTAATATGTTTGTTTTTTGGTTGGTTGGTCGGTCATGTGGCTTGTCCAGCTGCACAAATGCTGTGATTCTCCAGCACCTGTCTGCATACTGAACTCAGGGCAATATATTTGATTATCAAACACATTGTCCTTTTTACACATACACTTTCACATATAAGACTGGGACAGAATAAAGAGTTCATGTTTCACTTTCTTTGGACATTTAAATGTGTTGTATTCCTGTGCCCTTTCTTGGAAGCATATTGCACTGAGTAATGTACTGCATTGTCCAGAGAAATGCATAAAAGTAATGGCCAGTCGAAAGGTCAAATGTCTGTAAACAACAATGGTAGACGATGTTAAAGTGGGTCCCATTAAGAAAATGTAAAGAGTAGCGGTTGAAAGATGACTTCTTTAACTTTACACAGTATTTTCTGGGAAGGCTGATCAATCAGCTCAAAAGCCTTTAGATTTTTGGATTTAATTACGTTAGGCTTTTTTAAAACACATTTTCTCCTAAGGTCCCAAACTAATTTGTGGTTTAAATCCCGCTGAAGGTGCATACTGGCCTCAGACCAGCATTATTTTGTACTATATTGGTGCCTAAAGGTAGCATTAGTTATTCTGCCTAAAAATCTTCAGAGGATCTGTTGTTGGGCCAATACTTTTGGGTGAACATCAGTCCCATGATGCACTAGTCCAGACAAAGCATAACATAACTCAATACTAAATGGAAAAATGTAAACCAGTATAAACAGAAACAAGTGCATTTGGATGCTTTAGGCACCTCATTTATGGTGCACTGAAATTGTAGATACAGAATATGCTGGCATGTGTGTATGCGCCAACACAAACACACACACGCAGATAAAGCAGCCAAGAGAAGCGTGGTCACACATACAGGGAGCGCATACTGCAAATACACACAGATTGTTTGAAGCTCCCGCTGCTCCACACACTTGCCACATGCCGACAGTTTGTCTGGCGCTGAAGCAAGAGGCAAATCAATGGGGAAGCCCACTTCTTTTGTATAATATATACTTTTTTCATTTTTTAAGCTTTTATAAAAATACAAGTCATCGGGAAAGTGTGGCATATGTGCACATGCTCTTTGTGGATCTTTCTGTACGAGTTACCAAAGCATATCTCTTTTTCCATTTCCCTCTTTCTCTCGTCATTGCGTGGAGTAGAGGTTAGCAGTCAACACCAGTCAGATCTGTTTGGTCACATCAGTTGACAGAGATGAATGGATGCAAAAACAGGAACGAATGAAAGGATGAGGGGGTTTTCTCTTGAGGGTACATGATTTGAAAGGTGATTAATTTCCATTCATGCATCCAATTAGCCATACGCACATACAGACACACACTATGCCCCCTTCCTCACCATTGCCCCACCATCAGGTCGAGGACTCTGTTGACGTTCAGGTCTGAGTCAAGACCAAAATTGCTTTCTAGAAATGGGGCGGTGGGGGGCGTGAGCGGTTGCAGGCCAGAGGTCAAGGACTCCAGCCAATCAGCGGGGTCAAAAGCAGGAACCTCTGACCTTCTTTTCCTGGACAGTAAGCTGGATGGTGGAGTGGTGCAGATGGGGGGAGGAGGAAGGGGAGCTGGGGTTGAACTGAGGGGTGGAACGTTGTTAGGTGAGGGAGGAAGCTCTAAAAGAAGTGAAGAGCACAGAGGAGAGGACAGGAAGTTGTCGTCTTTTTGGCGCTTGGTGGACTGTGATTGGTCAGGCTGTGGGGCAGGGGAAGAGCCTGAAAGGATGGTAGTGACTGACTGGATGTCTGTGATCAGTGAAGAGTTATCTGAAAGATAAAGACATGATTTTATGGTGAATTCATGGCGTTTGAAATGTTAATCGGATATAACCTATTTGCAAACTGTGAGCAGCAGTAGCCTGGCCAACCTAAAATGCCATCTTAGTACATTTTTTGTCATTAGTAAGAAATATATTTGCTTCCTCTGTCCTATAAAGCTTCAGCTGCCTCTAGTCAAATTTCACTCACCTGAACAACTAATAGTCTCGTCCAAAATGTCATCTATGGATTGACTAGGGTCCATCTTACATGGTAAAAAAAAGAGTGGACAGGAAGTCGAACGCTCAGTGCTCATTGTTGATGAACAGCAATCAATACATCAATAGCTGCATAAAATAGGTAATTGTCAGACAGCAGACAGCACACAAACTCAAAAACACTCACCTGCACTCTTTGAATGGCCTCCTGTAGTTCTTCTTCCAGACTCCGGACAGTGGGTGATGCTTGTGCTGGACTGGCAGTAATTTGCATGGGCAAATCAAAGTCTTGACCAATCACATCACAAAGCTGGCAGCAGTTCACCTAATATTAGGAATAAATACAAAGATTTACTTTCTTGTATGATGTGAAATGGTGATATATATATATATCAGTTGTTGTACTTGCCCTGTTGAAAAAACTGTATGCTGGTTAGATATGTTTTGAAGCATGGCTGCTAGTTTGAGCTGGTTTAAGCTGCTCCTCAGTTGGTCATGGGCTGGTTTAAACTGGTCCTGAGCTGGTTATAAGCTGGTTATGAGCTGGTCCTGAGCAGGAGCTAGTTGCTTAGGACCAGCCTAGACCAGCACATAACCAGCTTAAACCACCTTATAACCAGCTCAGGACCAGCTGAATCCAGCTCATGACCAAATAAGTACCAGCTCAAACCAGCTGTCATGCTTCAAAACATACCCAACCAGCATATGCGTGTTTTTTTTTTCAACAGGTTGGTCTAATATCACCCGTAGTTTCTTGAACAATAAGATACCTTGATACAGCATGATGCAATTTAATAATGCAGAACTATGCCCCCTTTCTGTCTTACTAAGACCCAAAGTACATACTTTTCCATCACCAGCGCAGCATGTAAAGAGCAGTTCCTGTCCACTTGTGTCTGGTTTCCCTCTGGTGCATCCTGTCTCCTGTTGCAGGAACGGATGAAGGGAACTTTCACACAGCTAGAGAAAACAGAAGGAATGAAATAGTACATTAAATGCTAAAAGTACTTGTAAATAAATAGATCCACCACAAATAAAGAGAATAAAAATTTACAATATTAAGAAATGCTACAAATTCCAAATAATTCACCTCTTAGTCAAGCATTCAAACAAACCTGAGTGCCCTTTGCTCCTTCTCTTGGTCTGCTCCTCATCCTCTCTCTCATTTCCAGCTCCACACTAAGTTCATCTACTGCCTGGCCTGGCCTCCACGTAGTAGCAGAGGGTATTGGAGGGGAGGATCTATGTAAGGTGGGGCTGGAGCCAGTAGATGAAGGAGAAGTGAGGTAACTATCACTACCTAGGCTTTGCTCTGCTAAACCCGAAGGGCTGATGTACATTGGTGCAGAGTTGGCAGAGGTGTCTAAGCTGGTAGGGATGCGGTTGAGGCTGGCAGGGTGGGTGGACTCTAGCGTGGTCCCTAGCTGGCAAAGCGGCACAGGTGTTAATGGGTGACGAGGCATCTGGAAAGGACGAAGTCTCTCTAATAGTGCAGGCTTAGTGCCAGAAACTGGGAGTCCACGTTTCCGCAACTGCTGTCGAAGAACTGACACCTGAGAAGGAGAAGAAATAAATTCAATGTTCTGTACAAAGCTTGTTCCTACAAATAGTTTATGATAACCAGATAATCTAAAGCAGGGGTGTCCAAACCTACTCCTGGAATGCCACTGTCCTGCAAAGTTTAGCTCCAACCCTAATCAAACACACTTGAACTAGGTCATCAAGGTGTTCAGGATTACGGTTGTGTCTGAGAGCTGAAAAGGAAGGAGGTAGGAAGGCAAAAAGGCACATCTGAATACTTATTGTGACATCCTGCCTACTGCAATGCCTTCAGTTTTAGGAGGTATCTTCGCGTGTAAAAGCTGCCTGCCAAGTCATTGCCTGATAGGGCAGCTAAGGCAACAAGTAAGTTGTCTAAGCTTCCGGATGTAGCCTACTTAAAAATAACAGGCAGGTGTGTTGGAATTGAAGTCTGCAGGAAAGTAAACCTCCAAGAGTAGAATTGGACACCCCTGATCTAGAGTGAGTCATATTAATGAGATTCTTACCGTTAAGTCATCAAGGTTTAAGGGCAGTAACTCTGCCTGGTGGATGGGACTTGTATCAGGAGTAGATGGGTTTGTTGATGGTGTTCCAGTTTGAGGGGAACTTTGAGGCGTAGTTCCAGAAATCTTCAGATGGTTCTCACTATTGTTTGGATGTATAATATGAGTATATAAATTTGTCTTTTTGATTAACACTATCTTTAAGTAGATTTTTACCATTCAGATCACAGAGTAGCATCTCTAAAGCCAGGTTTGCATTGTACGATTTTAGCTATGAATTTGCTGTCTGGGAAAAATGTCATGACCCGTAAAGATTTATCATTATAGTGTAAAACCATCAGTCTTTCATCACACAGGACTGGATTACACTACACAACTGTAGCCCTGACTTTTGGCTCAATTTGCAGTTGAGGTAAGTCTGTGCTAGTTGCCTCGCATTAGAGCCAGCCTGGAGATTTTGGGAGTTTAAGTGTTGGGAGTTGATTTCACGTTGTGTATGATGGTTACAGACTAATATTTTACCATCAGACTATGATGCCATCTAGTCAGTGGATATTAAAAATGTTTGATGCTCCTGAGAAAGACTTTTAATAGCACTCACTTACAACTCCTGTTGCAGTCCATACTGACCCCATCTACCCACCCAAGACCGCATCCAAATGAGCTTGGCTTGTATTTTTCATAACCCAGAGTACAGAACTGCACCATCAACTATGGCAGGCAACTTCTCTACATCCATGTTTGTTTACATCTCATCTGTTATGCATCTACTTTTAATGGGAAGACATGTGTTTCAATGTGAGGTTGTTGTGGTTGGAACAACCTGTGTAATCTTCAGATTTTAGTGTGTGATGCTTAGATTTTTTTAATGTTGCCATTTACAAATTGGCAAGTGATGTGTAATATTTTAAAATCTGTTCTGATCAGAAAAGTTGTGTAGTGTAATCGTGCCATTTGTGTGACGTTCACTGACAGCCACGTAAACTTTTTTGATAAATCTCTGCCTTCAATAATAGTTGTGACTGCTGTTGAACTGTCAAAAGTGCTCTTGGCTGCAATGTTTCTCGAATACAGTACAATGTGCTCCCTATACAAGGAGTACACAGCCTGCGTAGGGCACCAACTATCAAGGGGGCACCATCTCGTCTACCTGGGGGATCAACTGAGAAGGATACCCCTTACAATGTGACATAAAAGAATGATGTTGCACAGTGTGCCATGGCTTTTACTTAAGATGTCACTGTGATAATACCTGAATCCGTAAAAATTGTACACGTGAACCCGGACTTAGTCGTTCAAATCATGGTAACTTCATTAGTGCTTTGTTTGAAGGTTTACCTGTTTGTCACAGGGAGCTGTTGTTGCTGGTTAAGAATTTGTAGTTGTAAGAACACCTGCTGTTGTTGCAAAAGGTGGGAGTAAGAGGAATCAGTGGGCGGAGCCTGACCGCTATTATTCTTTTGTGAAGCACTTCCGGCTCCGCTTCCAGTCCCAGTTCTTTGATCTGGGGGAATGTACTGATGATATTTCAACTTCCTCATTTTAGGTTTTGAATCGCGAGGCTTTCGTGGCCGTGGAGGGCGGGATGAAGTTAAGGACCCACCCAGAATGGAATGAGAAGGTGGAACTGAAGGCTGTGCTGTCTTGAGGCATACAAAGAGAGAATGGGAGCAATATAATTTGGAAAAATGACATGAGCAAGTGGATGAGAGAAATAATGAGGAATGAAATGGGGCGAGAAGTTAATCAAATCATTTATTCACATCTCTGTGTGAGTGTGTACCTTTGGCAGCAGTGGTGGTGTCTGGGAGGGCATGCACATCCCTTTGGGTCTCCCAGTTGTTGATATGGAGTTTGACCCTGTTACAGTCATGGTCATTGGTTGGCTGATGCCCTCGGTTGCCGGGAGCAATGCCAATCTACACTGCTTTGAAAAGATGAGTCGATAGTGGTGAAAACCATTTTCCAGCTTTTTAACCTGAATGTAAAGGTGTAATGTGTAATTTCTTCGCTACTAGTAGCACAAAACAGATGGTACTCAATCTCATATCATTGACTAACCCAGTGCTGCTATGTTTGGCTGGTATATGCTTATATATAAACAGATAAATATTTTGATAGTGCCACATTGTTCACAAAATTGCTCACTACTCTTTTAAACTGAAGAAAAGGACACAAGGCAAAAAGTACATGGTCAACTGATTTAGTCTAATATTATGTAGGTGGTTTATGCCTCTTATACCTGTACACTGTTTGGGCTGATGGGCGTAGCAACAGATGATGCATCACTCAGTAATTGGTCACCTCCTTGCCCAGGTGATGATAATAATCCAGGTGACTGGTGCATCCTGAGTTGCTCGGGAGATGTAGAGGCAGACGAGGAGTTGTCATCTTCAAAGACATCTGATGGCAATGAAGCAGCTGAGGCAAAGGAAAATAAGAAATGTTAGCTTTTCTGAACAATTCTCTGTTTAAGTTAAATGCTGCTATATGTGGAAATGTGTAACTGTAATATAAGGTTTGTTTACACATTGATACCTTATGAAAATTATTAATTTATAAGTTTCTAAGCAAAGTGGCAGGAAGAGAGGGGACAGGATTGAAAATGTCCACAAGCCGGGATTCGAACTTGGGCACCCAAAACACAACCGAACTGCGTGCCAGAACACTGCTGACAAGGCTACTATCGAATATAATTAGTGTTAAAGGGATAGTTCACCCAAAAATTTAAATTTTGTCATTAATTACTCACCCTAATGTCATTCCAAAGAAGAGAAGAAATTGTTGAATAAAGTCATTATTTTTGTTTTCTTTGCACAAAAAAGGGTTCTTGTAGCGTCATAAAATTAATGGTTCAACCACTGATGTCACATTGACTATTTTAACGATATCCTTTCTACCTTTCTGGGTCTTGAACATGGTAGTTCTGTTCTGTTGCTGTCTATGCAGGGTCAGAAAGCTCTCGGATTTCATCAAAAATATCTTAATTTGTGTACAGAAGAAGAACAAAGGTCTTAAAGGTTTGGAATGACATGAGGGTGAGTAATTACTAACAAAACTTTTTTGTGTGTGTGTGAACTATCCATTTAATGCACTAGGTACGCAAAGGTAGTATAACCATATGAACGTAGATAATTGAAACTTTATCTGTAATAGCAAAGCAGATATATATATTTATTATTACTTTTTTGGCTTATGTTTACAAAATAATCACTTAGCATACAAGCTTAGCATATCACTAACTGATTAACCTTCTAGCTTAGCCTTTACTCTGAAGTATTCAACTTTTTGTTTTTGTATGTTTTATATACTGTGACTGTTTGTTACTGTTCATTTACCTCTATCTGGTGTCTTTACTGTATATGTACATATTCACAATGTCACTGTCACACAAATTGCTGAACCCAATAACTGTGTAATTTCTGCTAACATTATTTACTTTTCTGTCTTTAAAGGGGTCATATGATGCGATTTCAAGTTTTCCTTTCTCTTTGGAGTGTTACAAGCTGTTTGTGAATAGATTAGATCCCTAAAGTTGCAAAGACTAAAGTCTCAATCTCAAAGAGATATTCTTTATAAAAGTTAAGACTCGTCCATGCCCTCCTAAAATGCCTCGTTTAGACATGCCCCCACATGTCTACGTCACTGTGTGGGAAGATTTGCATAACGCCGCCCAAATGTATACGCAAAGAAAGAAGGCGTAACTTTGATTCTCGTTGTAGTTAGTATTGTTGCGGCCGCCACCATGTTGTGGAGACGCTGTGTGTTTCGTTGTGAAAGCGAAAATACTTTGTTTGGTCTTCCAAAAGAGGACACAACTAGAAATCAGTGGTTAAGACTCACAGCCTGTAAGTACATTTTCATATTTAAAGGATTTGCCACTGATGATTCAAATGAGAGTTTTGAGCAGTGTAGAGTAGTGCTTGTTGTTTGTCATTTCTCCGATCACAAATGCAGACATGGTTTTATGTTTACGCACCGCAACACGTAAAAAGACAGTCTAAGTAATTATAATCAGTAATTATGTCCCCACTGGATGCAACAAATGCCTCATTTGTAATGGGATTTATTGGTTTTGTCTCATCATGCCGGGACACAGCATCACTGTATGGTAAGGGGCGTAACATTTCCATCACACGTTTGAGGTATTCGGCCAATCACAACGCACTAGATAGCTGGACAATCAGAGCACACCTCGCTTTTCAGAACGATGAGCTTTGTAAAAATCGATGCGTTTCAGAAAGGCGGGGCATAGAGGATTAATGTGTTTTTTTAACCTTAAACCGCATAAACACATGTCATTACACCAAATACATAAAATAATGTTCTTTTTAGCAATGTCATATGACCCCTTTAAAAAGCAACTGACTGTGTTAACATGTTAACAATGTTACAATTAGCCTACAAGAATTTATGACCCTATATATGAATACATTTTTTTTTTAAAGTATAAATAAAATATAGTATAAAACTATAAGAGAGTGTTTGTCTGTGCGTGCGTGTGTGTATGTGTGTGTGTGTTCGTCTATGCATATAAAATATTTAGCTTGAGTTTATGCTGAGTTTGTGAGGCATCGTTTTCAGTTATTTTCAAGGACTCACTGTTCTCTAGAGGCAGAATATGCCTCTGCAAGTGTTCAAGTGGTCCAGGCTGACTCTGGATTTTCTCACTCAGATCCTCAGCCAGACGGGCCTTCTTTTGCCTGTGAGCTCCACTATAACTCCTGTCTGTGAGCGAGAGACATACGGAAAGAGAAAGTGAGAACAAGAAATGAGAATAAGAGAGAGAACAAAATGAATAGTGAAAGATGGGGAACGTGAATGGCAGATCAATTGCTCTGCTTTATAATAAGAGAGGAGAAGAAGAGGAGGAATATTTTAAAGACAGAATATGAACGATTTTTCACAAAAGAATTTGTTGTTGGGGTGATCCAATTTAGACATTCAGAAAGCTACTGATAATAAGTGCATAAGTGCTGAAGGACCTTCAGCTGAATGACTTGCAAACACAAAGAGCTATTTGATGAATGGGGATTGATGGATGAATGGCTAATGGACAAACCGCTCATTCCAGCTTTAAGGTTACAGCTCTGTTCAGTACTGGTATTGGGATATTCTTTTATGACTGAAGGTCAGGAACTATTGGCAAACTCTCAATGGCCATGGATGATGCATCACCTGGTGCAGTTTGAGCAGTCAGACCACTAGGGGGCGACTTCTGAGTGGCACCATCTTCAGTCTGACGCTGCATTGAGAAACAGCCCAGTCAAATCAACATCAGCAAATGTCAACAAATACAGCAAACCTTTATTTCTCCAATAGTTACTGAAAGATAGCTCAAAGGTGAAGCTGCTAAAAAAAACAATTGGATGGTAATATTCTCCTGTAAGACTACATTTTTTCCCTCCTGACAGTAATTATCTTGAACCAGCTGCTGTTTACTGTCTTACTAAACATAATAAACTGTGCTAACAGTGTTTCACGGCTAATACTAATAGTTTGTGACAGTAACTAGACATGTAATTACAAACATTAAATTATGCTAAAGAGGTTGAAGACCAACTCGTGTCAGTTATCAGACTGTTTTGGCATCAGTGAGTAGTTTGCTTATCTACACTGGCACCCTGTTTCACGTCAGTCTGTTTTCATATAAACCAAAGGCACACACATACTGTTACTGGAGTGTGTCAAGAGAGGAAGCTATTAGATCCAACCGTAGTATGTTTTAGTTTGGAACTTCTCCCTCAAATTAATTAGCTGTTTCAAGGAGACATTTATTTTAGTTTTGGTAGCTGCTAGCTCTATATTTGACAATTTCTCCACAGACACAGATAAATAATGACTCACCAAACCACTGCTGGCTTCTTTCTCCCCAACTTTATCAGGGACGGAGGCCTTTGTACCTATAAAGGACAGAGAATGGGAGAATAAACAAAAAGGAGGAGACAAGCTGTTATAAAGCTAACATGTAGAGTTGAAATGCATAAAGAGAGCAATCCAGCTGGTTTGAAAAGTGTGAATCAAATATAACATGATTTTCCTGCCCCGTAAAGGGAAATTTCATAGACTGCATGTGGCTAAGCACAATCGAAATAAACACACACACACAGACTCACCAGACTCTGCATTAAGTTCATTCTGCTGTCTGCGGTTCTGTATTCTCAACTGCAGAACTGAAAAATATGGTATGTATTATTATGCAACAAAAACAATATTTACAATACTTTATTAAAAATACAATCTTTGTATTGCAGAAAACTCTCAAGCCTGAGTTTCCTACCTTAAGGAAAATGCAGGTTTTCTCTGTGAATCATATAGCTTAATTTATGACTGTAAGCCCAGTATATTACAAGTAAATTGCACCACTCGGATGATCATAAATGAGTTAGATATGAATTAAGCACTGCAAACTTAAACGGTTCACCAACACTGGCACTTAGAAATAAGTTCTACACTTCTTCACAAACAAACACATGCTTGAACCAGCAGGTGAATTACAGCTAGGTCAGAGGTGGGAGGAGTCATGAGGTATGGTGGCTTGTCCCATGATGCACCTCTGTGCTGAGTTTTGAGATCTGAGAGTGGACGTGAGAGGAAGGGGGGTAACTATTTATCCCTCTGAATGTCTATTTCTGTCACCTTCCCATCCCCCATCCAGCTGTCCTGCTCTCTAGCTCGCTCTCTCTTTATCTGTCTTTCACTCCCTCTCTCGCTGTCAGTCGTACTAAGTAAATTCTTCCTGATTTTACTTTACTCTGGAAGAGAATGACATGCTGAGCGGCATCAAGCCAAATCAGGTTAGAATACGGGGATTAAAAATTCACTGAGTGTCACGTCACCTTATAATAATGACAATGACTGGTGTGCTCTGATAACATAATGGCATAGATGCATAGTGATAGTTCAAGTTTTATGATATACTACTTACTGTACCACCTGTTATATCACTATCAAAAATGCCTAAAAACCAATACATATTTAAAAGAACCTAATGTATATTTCAAGTTTTAAATTAAATTAGTTTAGTATTTTTACATCCCTTGCTGTTCTAGATTGTACTATTCTAGACCATGTTTGAAACTTTTTATTGCTAACACGTCTCATGATGAATCATGCATATTCCCAGAAATCTCCTAATATTTTAATATTTTCTAAATTCACTGTATAATCTGGGAAAATGTCCAACATATGCAACATATCATCCAAACATGTACAACAAAAAAAGTTATTGTGTCAAATTACTAAGAAATATTGTGCTTATTATGACGCTGATTATGTGAACTGCTTTGCGCAGACAGTCAGATGTTCTTCCGAAGCTCAAGATGCTCTTGGATCATTCTCAAATTATGCTGGAGTTCGTGATCATCAGGTTTTTACACTAAAATGTTGCTAAAAGCAAGAGGAACAAACCAAATACTAAAACATTCTGAAGTTTAACTTTTCACTCAAGCCATTAACTGCATATTTGATCCCAGCATTTTGATATTGAGTAAAGCTATTGTGGGCAGAAATGAGAGATTATTATGTAATTTGGGGTAAGTATGTATATCCTAGCATAAGTCCTGGCATCTTTCAGCAGTTCCTTTTGCAGTATTTCTCTACATTAAGCAGCCCTCCTGTTGAGGTTGACTGGTGCAATTTTACTCCGTTCTCAGCTACTGAACTCTTTCAAAGCGATTGTTGGCTTCTCTGTGGCTTCTCTAAGTATCCTTCTTGTTTGTGCAGAAAGTTTAGAGGTTGACCTTTTCTATGCAGAGTCTGGGCGGTATGATGAAGCCTCCACTTCCTGATAATTTAGCCAAAAGTGTCCCCTGAGACATCCAGACACTTGGATATGGTTTTGTAACCTTTTTCTAATTTATGCATTTGTTTTACATTATCACTGACGTCTTTGAGATGTTTTTGACTATTCATTTTTACAGCTTGCCTTTTGGATTCACAACCTGAATAATATCTGTGAGGGTTTTTTAAAATGTAGTTATTTTATTGTGTTACAATTAGGTTTTTCATTTAATCCTGAAAGAAAAAAAAAGAAAGAAAAAATGCAATAAGGCTGCCACAGAGACCAGGGTTATTTCTCAGGACAGCTATTTCACTGATATCTTTCAGATTTGTAGGAACATTTTAAGTGTGATATTAAAAAAGGAACAAACAATCAAATAAAATTAAAAATTTAATCAAATTTTTAAAACAAGCTTCAATATTTAGAAATAAAAACAACACAAGGTAAGATTTCAGTATATATCTTTTTGTATATATATTGTCTACTATATATTGATTTTCAAAAAATTCTGTATCCTTGTAAAATGCTGGTCATTATAACATAATTACATATTAATCTCTTCAGAATAATACAAGACCCCTCCACAGACGATACATTATATCTTGCAAGACAAAATAAATGGATAGACTGTAAAGAAATAATGAAAAAGACATTATTCTTATAGATATGTAATAATTTGAATATATCAGTTTCATAAACATAGATTTATAAATATAAATATTGGCAAATTACCCTATGTTCATTCTCACACTATAAATAAAACATGTCAAACTACTTTTTTATGTTTTGTTTATGTTCATGAATTGTTAAGGCATAAAGACTCATTTAAAGCCCATATGAAATAATTGACCTTTAAATTTTGTTAGAAATCTTAAAAGTTTCCAAATTCTGTTTTATTCATTTACTCTTTGTTTACACCATGGATTTGTCAGACAGGCAGCCATCTTTCTCACAACACAACCTATCCAAGTTCACAGCTGATTTAAGGGTCAGTAACAGAGCAGAACAAGGTTTGGATTGCATTATATTTTCCTTGCTGTCCATGGATGTGATCTTCCTTTTTAAAATGACAGTCCCTTTTTTGAATACTAGCTAAACTGTTTAAAAAGTGTCAATTCAATGCATTTTTGACGGCAAAGTCTTGTCATTACCAAAGAGTGCTGCTGGACATTTGTCTGAGAATCTTGCCAGCAGGATGTTTATAGGGAACCCAAGAAGAGAGGGCAGCGCTTTTGAAGGGGTTCCAACCACAGATGGGAACCAACAAAGACAATCTGTCCACTGTCCACATGTCCTTCAGGGAGGACCGTACTGCTGGCCACATTTGTACAATATGGGGAAGTACGAGAGATCGTGGAACCTCATGAAGATGGGTTGGTTGGTAAAATTCGGAGGTCCATATCATATCAGCCATTCAGAATTCATTTGAGAATACTTTTAAATTCCAATGACAATTAATTGAAATTCATATAAACTGAATTATTGCTTGAAAGCAAAAAATGTTGTGGAAAATACAAAGTTCTGGCATGAAACTCTAGATGGTGCAGTCCGATAGATCTAACTCAGTATGACATAATGACATCATTATCACGTGTCACAGCTGATTGGTTCTCTCCTGTATCAGTAGCCAATGAGCTGGCTGCTCAACATTAAAATGCTTGGCTAGTGTTTGCTGTAGCAGTAGCAGTGCAAATCAGAAACCCTCCACCTTCCCCAGCTCCACCTGTATAGATCAGTATTTCTTACATGCTCACAGCAGCATGTTTTGGGTGTTACTTTTTGTCACCTAAGCTGGGCTTGCTTATTTTTAATAACAAAATACCCAAAGGTTATATTTTTGGCAACTGTACAGGCCCTTTCACAACAAAGGTGAAATTAAGGTGCCTCGGCCTCTGCAACTCCCAATTTCTCTCAACACGGGAACAGGAGAGGTGCCAGTGACTAATTTGGAAAACAAAGAAACTTGCATTACTCATTTAAAAAAGTAACTCAGATATTTTCTTGTAAATTTAAAAGTAATGCGTTACTTTACTAGTTACTTAAAAGTAATCTGATTATGTAACTTAACTTACTTGCAATGCATTACCCCCAACACTGGTCGTGACTCACTTTTTAATAGAGCTGCATTTCATCTAAAGATCAGTTTTATTCTCAGTATTCAAGCAAGCCCACCCTCATTTTTTGCCAGCTGCTCTGTAAGACCAGCTACATTCACCTAGGTTTCCAACGCTGCAAAGATTTTCAGAAACCATCATCAAAACCACTAGGAGCATCATCAGAACTCACATCACCAACCAGAGCGGACAGACAGCTACACATGTGGGCTTTCAAAACCAGCTTGAATACAGCCTTGTGATCCTTCCTTTGTTCTTACCTGAGCGAAACTTATTGCGGATGAGCAGTGACCTCTCAGACGCCAGCAAGGTCATGATGGAGAGACAGCAGGGGAAGAAGGGGTGGGGGCTTTAAAGATATGTCTTCCTCCTGCAGGGCAGATACTTATGATGATTTCTTATGCCCTTTCCTCTCACTGAAGAAAAGGAAAGCAAAGGGGAGTCACAGCAGGCCTGAACACATTCTAGTTGCCATCAAGACAGCGAGGGAAAAACACAGGAACACAAGCAACTGTTGTAGTTTGTGTATGACTGACAGAAACAGGAGGAATAAGAATCTAACGCTATTCTGCTATTCTAAGAGGCAGTAAACAGCATCGCTTAATAAAACACAACAGATTTCCTTCTTTCTATATCCAATGAATAGTGACTAGAGCTCTCAAGCTTAAAACAGGAAGCAGAAGCTCCTTACAAGTGGCCCTTGCGCACTGTATTCCAAGCCTTCTGAAGCCATATGATTTTTACGGTTTGTGTAAGAAAAATAACATTTTTGAAGTCATAAGTCAAGAAAATAATGTCCACCCTAGCAGTCCGTGACACGTTACTGAGAGAAGTACAGATTTGTAAACAAATCATTCTTTTGAGCCAGATTGACTCACAATGAGTTGTCCATGAATCAGAGTTCAACATCTCAGTGGATTGAATAATGGTCCATTTTGGTCTGTTCCACAAACAAAGCTATCATACAGCTTTAGAAGACTTGGAATATAGTGCAGAGGACATATGCAATACTTCTATAGCACTTTCAAACCCTTTTTTGAAGCTTTTAAAGGGTTAGTTCACACAAAAATGAAAATTCTAATTTTTCTTTCATGTTGTCCCATATGCACAAGACTTTGGTTCATCTGATTCATAAGGATTACTTTGACAGCGTCTTTATGAGCTTCTTGAAGTGTTACAGTTTTGGTGGAATGGACTTGGAAAATCTACAATGGAGGGACATAAATCTCTCAGGTTTCTTTCAAAGATCAACAAAAAATGGCATGACGGTGAGTAAATGATGACAATTTTCATTTTGGGGTTTATTTTCCCTTTAAATCTTGAAACACCGTTTAATAAAAGAAATAATGACTAGTACATTAAAAATAAAAATTTTCTTTTTGTGTTCCACAGATGAAAGTCATACAGGTTTGAAACTACATGAGGGTAGAGATGGATGAGGTGAGTAGTACTGGATGAGAGTAAATAATGACAGAGTTTTCATTTTTGGATGAACTATCTTTTTAAACTATTCCAGTGGGAGGGATTTTTGCTCAACTAGCCAAGGATAAAGTGGCCTGTTGGAGCAGATGAGAGTGAGTGCATGTACAGAGGCTTGAGTTACAGAAATAATTGGTTTTATTTATGTGCCCTAGAGCTGGATTTCAAGTACTTCAAATTTTTTTCACTGTACATCTCTCTTCAGTGATAATCAGAACTGCACTCACTAACTACAAGTACTGAAGCAACAAATTGGCCTTAGATGAAGATCACAAAAACTTCTAGTGTCAAAGTCTTTACAGACATAAGCACCCAGATGCCTTCACAAAAGAACATATATATTCATAGATAAATGTATAAACACAATAGGATGAATGGAAATGAATACTCACAGTCAGACTGAACTCCCCAGAGTTTTGTCGAGTGGCGTTGAACAGAGATTAAAGTTGAGAGAGAGATTTTTGTGATCGAGGTGGAGAATGAGGGTAGAACTTGATGCACGTTAAACCGAAGCAATGCTCAATGACAAGGTTGTTCCTTATCTTCTTTTTCGCCTGTTTGTTCCTTCCCTTCCACAGGTGAATCTAGGGAGAAAAGGGCCCTCTGTTTCTTCCTCTTTTCTTCCACACAGAATTCACCCTGTACACCTCGTTCTCTCTCTCTCTACCCCCACACCGAGGAGTTGAGCCAACTGTGTTGGGCTATCAAAAGAGCACCCTGACACCTCCCCCTGCCCCCTCAGAAACCTCACACACACACACACACACACACACACACACACATTTGCTGATAGATTCATTGGGGGGTGACTCTACTGGGTGGGTAACTTGCGGTGTCCCCTATCTCCTCTTTCTCTCTCTCAGGGGTGACAAGGCCAGACCTTCCCCCACAGGTATACCCGAAGAAGCTTGTAAAAGCTTTTGTAAAAGCTACAAAACCTTGCTGGATCAGAAAGGAATGGGTAGAAAGAAACTGTAATTCACTGCCTTAAATTTTTAATTTTTACTTTATTTTTAATTTGTTTTTTTTATCACTTTTTGAATTGTGGTTGAGATGCATGTATTTTAATAAGGTGAGGTATGGAATGCATTAGCACAAAACAAAACAAATATTTCCTGTATTCATGAAAAAATAAATATATATTGTTGGCAGGGATGCAGACATGAGGTCTTAAAGGGACAGTTAACTCAAAAATTGTAATTCCACCATTTACTCACGCTCATGTCATTCCAAACCTTTATGATTTTCTACATATTTTATAAAAGTGTGCTTTTTGCTCATATAATGAAAATCAATGGGATTCAGTGTTGTTTGGACCCTAGTGTTCTTCAAAATATGTTCCAACAAGGTTGGAACAACATGACTGTGAGTAAATAATGATAAAATTTTAATTTTTTAGTGAACTCTCCATTTAAATGTCCTCTAAAAGTTCTCTACATTTATCTATAAAGATACATTTGATATAAAACATGCCACAGTAGCCAATAAATTCAATTTAAATCCACAAACATGCAAATATATTTGTCTATGAGTAAGAGACAGGGGCTGGGGGGAGAGGAGAGGGTTGGGAAAGGGAGATTATTACTGCACCACCTGTTTGGTGGCTTTGACAGACAGGCTGGTGTGTGCTGCTGTGTCAGCAGGTCAGAGACAGCCAGTGAGTGAGAGAGAGAGAGAGAGAGAGAGAGAGAGAGAGAGAGAGATACAAGAGAGGGAAAAAAGGCAAAACGGTCCAAAACAAGAGATACAAGTTGAGTGCACAACAACATGGCTGAGACAGACAGAAAAAAGATAGAAGAGAGACACAGGAAGTCGGATTCTGATCATGGCAGCACTGAGCAGCTGGTAAAGCCAGTATTAGCCATTTGAATTGTCTCAACCTTGCAACTGAATATAACTATAGGAACCACAATGAGCATGAAGGTTGTGAATGACAGCATTGAAAAAATGTATCCCCTTATTGTGTGTGATGCACATGCAATTTATGCCATGAGGTACTATTGGAGGAAAAGTGATGTAATCACCCTTGCTTCCATTGAGCCCCCCTTTTGGGAATCCCTGTGATTAGCACCTGTTACTGTCCATCTTTTTCACTGTCTTGTCATCCCTACTCACCTCAATTAGCTTGTGTCATTTTGTGTCACAGCATGAGAAGCTTAACTGAAACAACACATTCTATACATTCTAATGACACCCTGTGTCTCATTGGCTTTGATAGATACAAGAAAGAATGTCAAAAGGACAAATATCTGTGCACACAAGGTGGGAACCTCCATTTCATCTCATGCCATTCTTCAGGCAATTTACATTCATGTGCAGAAAATAGGTTAGAACTGCTAATCTTGTCAAAACTATAATCACAAAATGATTCCGTTAATCTACATTGAATAAATATGAAACATTACAAAAGCAGTGCAGTCGGCGCCAATAGTCACGTGGGCAGCTCACCGGCATATAGCACTGTTGTGCTTCAGGCGTCCCGAGTTCGAGTCTTGGCTTTCAGGCCTTTCCCGATCCCGTCCCCCTTTCTCTCTCCCACATTACTTCCTGTCTATATTACTGTTCTGTCCTAATAAAGGCAATAAACGCCAAAAATGCATTAAAAAAAGCAGTGCAAATGGGTCAGTGGTTCTCAGCTGGTTTCACTTCAGGACCCTTTTTTAAACAATGGACATACACATTACCATAATTGTATATTGTACACATGTAAACAGGGATATGCTTAAAAATCAAACATTAACATGTATTAACAATCTGCAATACTTTTTTACATGACTTAGGCTGAATTGGATTTTTAAAAATGGCATTAGCAATGTTACCAAGCTTACTGTATACATGATCGTATAGTTAGTTGCATTTTATAAATTGCATTCATCAGGCCAACCTACTGTGTGACCCATTTATGCTGTGACCCATCAGTTGAGAACCACTACCAAAAAATGGACAACTCTAAATGTTGCAAGGCTAATTACTGTACACGTTTCAATTTATTGACTTCAGGTTGATGAGGCCATGCATAACTTGGAGTGAGTTTGCCATCTGGTGGCATAAATTAGTAACAACATCCTATGCTAGGTTCTGTCCTACATTGTGCTTTCCTACATGTAAAAATGCTCACACTCCTCATTCAGTTCCCACATCACTATAGTTCCAGAAGTCTCTGTGCTTAAACCGCTAATCATCTCTATCTGCGGCAAGTCATTCAGGCTGCTCATCCAATCATACAGCTTCTCTCACCACTGCTATGCTAACAACACTCAACTGCAGAGCTCCTAACCCATCATGCCTCAGAAACCCATCTACATCTCAGAATATACCCATGCCCGGCATAATAAGAAACGCCCTTCCCCAAGCATTTCATAGCCACACTAAAGCAAGCCTCTCCTTGCCAACAAACCATCTGCCTTGTGTCCAAAATTATATTATCTGGAAATTCTTTCAATTTATACTGCCTGAGAATCCATTTCAAAAGACTGTTGCAGGTTTACACTGAGACTATTTTGCACATAATGGCAAGTACCAACCATTAATGTGACAAGCATAGTCTCACAGAAAAGAGCAAGTCTCCTACATTTCTTACCGTTTCTCTTTCTTGCTCACACACACACATTCACACTCAACACTTATAGACACCTGCTGTCAGCTTGATTGTGGGAGCCACTCTCCTTGATGCTGCCAAATGGAACAGCGACCCTCTGAGCACATCTGAGCTGTCACTCAGACGTACACAGACTCCCCCGTCTAGCACAGCTTGTAAGGTTAAAGCAGGCAAAGCACATCCATAGATAAACACTTTAAAACTGTAAAGTTTTAAACCAGTAATACTGAGCATTTCATTCATTTATTCATTCATTGTAAAACAGCATAACACTGAATGAATGTATGACTTACACAGTCTATACATTTTAGGCCTATATATATATATATATATATATGTGTGTGTGTGTGTGTGTGTGTGTGTGTGTGTGTGTGTGAACCTGAACCACAAAACCGGTCAATTGAGGGTCTCATTTATACAACATCTGAAAGCTGAATAAATAAGCTTTCTATTGAGGTATGGTTTGTCAGGATAGGATAATATTTGGCCAAGATACAACTATTTGAAAATCTGGAATCTGAGGGTGCAAAAAAAATCTAAATATAGAGAAAATCGCCTTTAAAGTGATCCAAATGAAGTTCTTAGCACTGCATATTACTAATCAAAAATTAAGTTTTGATATATTTACGGTAGGAAGTTTACAAAATATCTTCATGGAATATTATCTTTACTTAATATCCTAATGACTTTTGGCATAAAATAATAATTTTGACCTATATTGGATATTGCTACAAATATACCTACAAATATGGCTACTTATGACTGGTTTTGTGGCAATTGTATATATATATATATATATATATATATATATAATGACATTCATTCATTCACACACTTTTACACTGTTCATAATAGTTTTAACAAAGAAAAAGAAAAGAAAAATGAAAAAAAAGATGGACTGGAAGCATTAGAATTTGATTCATTTTATTCAAAATTCTGTGACACAGGTTTCAGAAATTAGGCTGTTTAAATATCTGAAGTCTTGTTTTTAAATTGTGTATTAAATATATAAGTGTTCTGTGACAGAGCACACCATTTCAAATATATACATTTCCACCATAAATAAATAATTCTCATTGGTGCAAGATTATTTTTAGTTAGCTAAAACACATTCTGAGCATTCATCATTAATTTGTAAAATGTGTTTTAAATCTACTGTAAAATGAGCTTAATAAAAACAATAAACCAATCTGTATATGAATGAAGTAATATGTAAACAAGTGTGCAAACCAAATTTAGTGATATCATTCAGCAGCTGGACACACTTCCACTGCATGCAGAATATGTGCTGCCTGAGCCTAAAGCAAAGTTAATTAAGTATGAGAACCACTGGAAAATAGAAGGGCTTGACAAGCTTTAATTAGTGTGTGCAAATATTCAGATTCTTAATAAAAATCTGAAATTTAACCAACAGAACTTTAGATTAGCCCAAGGTGTCCAGTCTGTGCACAATATTTGGTTATTTACATGGGAAATTACATAAACAGAATTAATCAGCAGTGTCTGAACCTTTAAACCTTTTTTCCAAGCAAGGTTTTTTCAAGCTGCATAACTTGGAGAACTGAAGTTTAAGAAACTAATAAATTAGACATTCAAACCTTAAAATGTTAGATCATAAAGATTAATTTGAGTTGTGCAAGAGCACCAGACAATTGTATCCACGACAGTGAAAACTTATTTTAAATAATTAATTTATATCACAAAGTACATATGTGCAAATTTACTTGAAATTCTAATTCAAACTTTCTGCAATGATTTGTAACAGCTGTCTGATAAACGATCAAGAGAAGTAAAACCTTCTTTGTGCAGATAAAAGCATATTTTCAAGCTAATAATTGAAGTAGGCCCTTGAAGGCAAAGGGTTTATAAACCAAATAGTTCAAGTTCAATATTAAAGAAGAACAAAGCAGAGTATTTTAAAGGAAAAATATGAAGGTGACTATACTACTCCCTTTTGTAAAATTAGCCATGAGGGAGAAACTGAAATGAACACCGTGCAAGATGTTTTATAATGCATAATATCTGAATATGTTCTGAAATGAAAAAGCAGAGTCATGAGAAAAACTAGATGCAATCTAGTTTTTTGTCTTCTACAGAACATATGCAATCAAGACAATGTGTTAACCTGCAAACTCTACAACCAGATGATGAAGAATGCCAATAAAAACAACAGAAAACAAAGGTGTAAATGACAACATTGGATGTGCCAGGTCAGAAGATTTGTACAATGCAAGTTTGAAAGTTTAAAGAGGACACAACCCCAAACTGTCCTCTTCAGGTCAGGTGGAGTATCACAATGAAAGGAGTGGAAGATTTGTAGCACAACTTTGAGAATGATGTATGTTCCAATTCTGTGGAGTTTTGTGGCTGCAAATTTTGTGTGGGCCTAGTCATTAATGGGCCTAGATATACTGATACACTGATCTGGGCAATTCCTTGACTTCAAGAGCTCATAATACAAAATTATAAATAACAATAATGAGCCTTTTAATCTTTTACAGTAACTACATCACACCCCTGAAGAAAGATGCTGCATATGCGAAAAACTGAAATGAGAACAATAAATAAAAAGCAAATAAGGGTATTCAAAGTTATTCAAGGTAAAGAATCAAAACAAATGTATTTCATCAAGAGGTCTAACTCAATAACTGAAGCTTATTAGAATGAATCCGAAGTTGAATATTGCAGAGTTCAGTCATCACCAGTAAAGGTCTCGAGAGTTAATGGAATGAAATATAGACAATAATATGGAACTAGTGAGAAGTAAGGAATTATTATATCAATACAAAATAAATTTAATGTATTTACAACTTTGCTTATCTTTTTAAAACTTAAAGAAAAGAATGAAAATCTATTCGTTCGTGCCTTCCATGTAGTTCTCATTCCCCCTCTGTGTCACTGTCAGACTCCATTTCAGGAACTGTTGAACTGTACCACTCCGCATTCTCTTCTGGCTCTCCTTGTATACCAGCAAGGGAAATCCCTCCACTTTCTGGCTTTGCCTTCATGTCCATCGCCTCCAGCTGCTGGCCTTGGTGCTTGCGCTTCATGTGACGTCGCAGTGTGTTGCGCTCTGCAAAACGCATGTGGCATATTATGCACTGAAAGGGTTTCTCACCGGTGTGTACTCTCTGGTGCCTCATTAGTTCCCCTGATTCACGAAAACGTCTTGGGCAAAGCTGGCACACAAAGTTCCTCTGACCTGTATGGATGTGTTTGTGTCGCTCAAGATGGCTTGATCTTTTGAATGCCTTGCCACAAAGGTGACATACATGGGGTTTGCTTTGGGAGTGTGTGATGGAATGGCGCTCAAGGTCCGAAAGATAGTAGAAGACCCGCGGACAATACGGACAGTAAAGAATGCGACGAGGGTCTAATGCTTCATTCTTTGGGTCATTGATTAGAATTCCGGGTGATACAGGACGGATGGGTGATGTAGAAGAAGTGGCATCTAATGAGTCTGTTTGGCCTACCGAGGTAGACTCAGTCTCACCGTCACAGTTTACCTCTGTCTCCTTATTTTTACTTTCATGGAATGTGGCAGAGGAATCCGGCTTGGTGGCTTCAGAACATGAAGGAGTAGTGACTGAATGTGTCTCAGGCTGGTTTTCTTGTTTCTTCTCCACAGACACAGCCAATCTGAGAAGGGCTTCCCGAAAGGAAGTGGGCACTGGTGTGTCGGAGTAGGCATCAGTGCTGAATTGCTTGGTTGGACTTGTAGAGGTCACTGTGGAAGTGCTAGAGGAAGCAGTTGATGAGGTAGGGCTAGCAGGAAGATTAGAAGGGTTATTCAGTCCTGAGATGTCTGTAGCTGTGGCAGAGGAAACTGTGCTGAGGCTGAGATGTGACGTACGTGAACTTAATGTAGATCCCAAATCAAGTGAACAAGTTGCTAAGGGAAGTGCAACAGTGGAAGAAGAGGAAATTTGAGATAACTGCCCAGGCGAGGACGAACTCTGAGTTGAGGACACCTGAGGAGATGACAAAACTAGGAACATGGGGGAGGACTGAGTGTTCTGACTAAGAGGAACTGGTAAGGAAAGGGTAATTAGCCCTGGGTTAGCTTTAGAGGCCGGTGAGGAAAGAGACTGAAGCTGAGATGGAGGAAGAAGAAGAATGGAGGTGTTTGACCCTGTAGTATTAGCCACAATCTGAATGGGAACTGATGCCAAGTCAGACATGGCAGGTATGATGGAGGGTTTATCAAGAGCTACAGAACTGTAAGAAGATTTTGGCTCCTGGTTTGGGGCAACTTGTGATGTTTCCACCGAGACATGGCCTATAGACATATTTGGACACAGTGAATTGGGTAGTGTCTGTATTCTTGAGTCTGCAATATCCTGTACATCAGCAATGAATGAGGGCTTATCTTCAGCTTGTCCTGGGCTTAGATCTGTTTGTTTATAGAGGCCCTCGGTGTGTTGTATATTATCAATTTGTGGAACTTTCTGTCCATCTGCAGTAAGTGTGTAAGGAATGCCCTGGTCATCTATAAGTAGTGTATCCATTGGATCTGGGGTTATAATGTTGGGATACGATGTAGTTGCCATGGCTTCAAGCGAAGAGGAGGAAAGATGTCCATCCCAATGCTGAGGCAGATATGCATGAGCATCACTTACTGATGAAATGCAGCAAATTTCATTGTCGTCCTCCTGCTCCACTTCGACATGTTGAGGCTCCTCCTCAATTTCATCAACTTCCATATGAAGTGAACCTTCATATTCAGGGTCTACAACCCATTCACACTTCCTCTCCTTATTTCGGTCTTTCTTTTTTGGTAGGCTTAAATCTAAGACCATGTCTTCTTCATATTGTCCCAAAGAACTTGTCACTGCAATGTTCCTTCCGATATCAAGACTCTGCTCTCTTACATTACATAAAATTTGTGTTTCATAATCTTCAATGCAGTCTTTACTATATTCTAATTTTTCTTTGTTTGTATTTAGGTCCATCCTAAGTTTACTCCCTCTTGCATGTGCCACATCAACAACCTGTGTTTTATTCTCAATACACAACTCCTTGCTTGTGTGATTGCATCCACCAGGTGACGGTAGTTTGTCATTATGAAAACCTTTATTTAAAATAGATTGTCGTTGAACCGTATTCTCTAGAAAATCATTGGATGAGATGTTGGCAATGTTTGCAGCTTTGGTTGTTACCGCACAAGCTTCTGTCGTAGCATTATCAGACTCTATCTTGGTTATCAGCTGCATGTTTGTTGGTAGACTCCTTGTGTTCTCTTGAAAAGGGACTAATTTATCTTCAATAGTCTGGTTTTCAAGATGACTCATCTGGTCTGAGTCTGATTCATTTTTTGGTGAGTTCTGCTTGCTGTAATCTTTTATAACTTCTGCCTGATCTTGTGGTGGATCAAGAAACACATCTGGGGTCACTTTGTCCTTAGACTCAGTCCTCAATGAGAGTCCCTCATCTGATAACTCACTCTCCTGACCCACAGACATTTGGCTTTCTTTGGTGGCAGTAAGATCAGTCCACTTAATATGTGGAATGGTCTCACCTATCCTGTCCAATGTTTGTTGTTTGCGCATAGCAACTTCTGTACATTCAGCAGTAGAGAAGAAATCATATTATTCAGTACTCATGGAGTAAGTCATTACAACCATTATAACGTGTGTTCATTATAACCTGAGAGAACATTACAATATTGCCTGACAGTGCCACACAATCTTGCATAATCCATGTAATGGCACCATTGCCAGTTCCTTTCCCATCTGATGTAACTGCTGATTTTCACCCATGTCTCTGCTACTGCCATCAGTCAGGACCTTCTACTCATCTAAGGCATCAATCTAAAACAAACAAGCAAACAAAAAAACATAAGACAAAAAACAAGATTCTACATTCTGTAAAGAAATAACAGAACTCATGTTACAAAGACAAATCTCAAATAATGTATTGTTTAAGGTAACAAACCTTTATAAAATATTAGTGCTGTCAAAATGTACAAATTGCAACTTTTACTAAAAATCACCTTTTTGAAGTTACAGTCACTTTGTATATTCTTAATAAATTATTACTAATTTAATATTTAATACATATTCAATATGTAATACTGCCACATTATTTCAGTTATATTTTTATAGGTGTGTATTTACATATAAAATATGGAAGCCCGTTTCCACCACTGAATAAAAAATAAAAAAGATAATTGCGACTTTTTATCTCACAATTTTGACTTTTTTCTCAGAATTGCATGATAGAAACTCGCAATTCTGCCTTTTTTTTCTCAGAATTGCAAGATATAAACTTGCAATATCAGTCGTTCCCCTCCCCCTCCCCCTCAAAACTGGATTTTAACTCGCAATTGCAAGTTTATATCACGCAATTCTGACTTTATAATTCGCAATTGCATGTCAAAAAAAGTCAGAATTGTGAGATATAAAGTCACAATAACTGTTTTTATTTTTTATTCAGTGGCGGAAACAGGCTTCCATAATAAAAAGACAGTATCATATAGTACATAAAAATGGATGCTGAGGAAGTTTTGATGTGGCTTGGAATTTTTTTTTTTTACAATAATGTGTTCATTTTCTGAACTAAGGGGGTTTGTTTATAAGTATTTATGAAGTACTTATATTCACAAGCATAACAAACTAAATCATAACAGATATTGCAGTTAAACAGAAAAAACAGGCAATATAGGGTTGATTTTAAAAAATCTGACTTGAATAAAAGAATGAACATCAACATTCGATGTCTGCGTAATATTTGCAAAAGTACACAAATGCCATCCAGTTAGCAGGAATACAACGCAATGGGCTTGAACGGCGCGCTGTCATGGTAGCAGGTCCGCTCCTCCTTCCCGTGGTTCTCATCACAAATTAACTGTCAACGCGCATGGCTCGAGGTTTGACACCAATGCCTTTGTCCGTGCACTCAGCCATGCAGCACTGTGGGAGAGTTAGAGATCAACACGGGACATTCGACGCCATTACGCGCCGGAGGTCCGTTTAAAGAAGAAAAATATCAAACCAAACATCGCGTTTGATGTCTGTGGGGTCCAGACGGCGAGTCGAACCCGTGCCATTACATGCCCAAAAGTATCTGTCTGAAGGATATAGCCTCCCCATAACACGTGTAATGCAAATACGCTTGAATTGTTCCCATATTTTGGTCAAAACACTGACTGCGCTCGAACCCGCGACCAGCCATTTTATGAGTACCGAGGGTTCGAGCCGCTGACAGCGCTCAGACACACTGCTGCCTTGGAAACCCTATTTCAAACTTTCTAAGACAACCAACGCTCTTGAACTGCTACTCGCAAGAACTCACATTTCTTCCCAAAAGCTTACAACCATTCGCGCACATCGCTTCTTTATAACTGAAATATTGAATATGAAACTGTTCTCACCCCACGAGCCAGCTCGCGCAGGCACTGAACGGCCCGACCCTGAGATACTTCCGGGAGACCAAATATGAATGAATGACTGGGCGGAGAGGTTGAGCGCGAGCGAAAGGGGAGGGGGGTGTCGTGGTGTTGCAGTTTTCTACGTCCGACCTCGACATGCTGTAGGATTGAAATTTTATATAACTTCAGTTGTGCTTTAGCTAACAGGTTCACATTATTTTCATGATAATAACACATTTAGTGAAATCGTGACACATTATTCAATATAAAAATTAATTTAGAATCTAACAATTATATCATTATTAACTGTCAAATATTTTCAAACAAGAGCCGGCATTCAAATTTATGAATTTTTCTTTAAGTAGAATATCTTGTAGGCCACTTTTACATTGTGTTTTCAGGTTTGGAGATGGAATACAGCACTCAAACAGTTCTTTGTACCTGCAGAAATCATGGTAACACTTTATACATATTATGATAACACTTAAAGCGTTATACATAAAGGCTTTAAGTGTTACCAAAATCATTTATACAGTCTAACCAGCTCAAATAAAATCACTGTTTTAAATGACAACAAACACTCCAGTTTCTTTATTGAAGAATCATGATATTACAAGAAGAAAACACATTTAAAGATGATTCACTGTTTAGACAATGCACAACTGAATCTGTATAACAGCCATAATTAAGCAAGGCTTTATGCTACAATATTCCCTAGTCTTATTTATGTAATCCAATCCAATCAAGCAGTCCAGTCAAAGATCAGGGGCAAGTTCAAGCTCAAACCGGTGTGCACCGCTACGGTTTCCGGTTTGAATAACATGTTTCCTGGAAACAGTGTGCAAAGGGGTTTGAGATGCGTTTTCTCTTGTTTGGTGGGTGTGTCAAACATGTCAGCCCAATCAGCAGCAACATGTATGTAAACCACGCGGTATTGAAGAGACAGCTCGCACAATGTAATTAATTGGGATGTTCTCTTTTATTCTGGAGGGCAAGGGCAGTGACTGCACCATCGAGCATATTTTGCAGTATTAAACACGTATTTATACAGATTTCATCAGGCTCCGAAAAGTCTTCAAAAAGAACACAAAGAATGGGCTTCTCAGCTGCCATAGTTGCAACTCTTGCGTCATCAGAACAGGGTGTTCAACGCACCACCGTTTCCGTTTAAAAAACGTTTTGCACCGTTTTTGTCGGGGCTGAACACAGCCTAGTTAACTCTAAACATATCATAAAACTGCTTTTGGAATACAGAGAGCATCAGTACATGGCATGATTTCTGAGTTCACCTTTAGCCTGTGCATTCTTGGTTGTGGGTTTGACAAGCATATCAGGTAGCAGAAAATCACTTTTTAACAAAGAAATAAAATATTATAACAAGATAAACACCAACACTACCTCAAAAATCAGTTTTACACTTTGTATGACAATAAAATACATGAAAAGAGAGCAGCTTACAGCAACCATAACCTCAAGCAAGTATGAGGGTGTTTGCATATATCAAATATGACACAAATTCTGTTTAAGGTAACTTTGTCAATGCAACATACAACAAAGAAAAGAGAAGAGTTAAATGAGGCATAACTGTGAGATCCTACTGAGATCCGTTCTAAAACAAATTTAGTTGGCACGTTAATAATACAATTTACGTTGATCCAGACTCCAGGTCATGGTGTCAGAGTGTGTGCCATCATTCAAAATGTGTTGTCAAAATTTGATGAGTTCACTGAAGGTCAGCAGGATCACATGGATCAATCTCTGAAACCAGCCGATGAGGAAAGAGCTTGAATTGCAGCCAGGTAGGGTCTAAAAAGAAAAGCGGGCGACGAAGGTGATGCAGGGTTATTTTTAAGTGTAATGTACACTTATTATATTATGTGCAATAATGTGGTGTGAATTATGTACCAAGATAGCAGCTAGGTTGCTTGAGCTGTCCATCTACGCAGACCTCTGTGGCAGTGAAGCTGCACAGTTTTTCTGGATGTTTACAGAAAAATGTCACATTCTCTCCATGAGCAACCACACCATCCGTCAGATCATATGGCCAACGCTTTACTCCTCCCACGATCACCCTGCTGCGTTGAGCTGGGACTGGACAGCGGGCTGATCGGAAAGACGGGAAGAAATGGTGAAGAGAATGATGCTATTTGTCATGACAAAAATGCGTGAAATGTTCAATGCGAATGTTCAACACAGTCATGATGACTTGATGCATTGTTTTGTTAAGAGCTTTATTTACCCCGGCAGGCAGGCTCTGCACTCCATGTCCCATTAGGTAAACAAGTCACTTGATTTGGGCCATCCAGCAAGAAGTTCTTTTTGCAGAGGTAATAGATTGTATCACCAACTTCATATGCAGTTCTCTGGACGGCCACCAGATGTCCACGTTCAACTTCCTTAGGAGGAGGACAAACCACACCTGATAACATACATAAGCACACACTTAAATTTACATGTAAGTGCACTGCAGAATTAAAAATGAAACCTTAAATACCTTATAAAGTCTAATTATGTGAAAACCCTTTAAAAGAATATTCCTGGGCTCAATCAACACCACTTTAGTGGCAAATAATATTAATGTTAATGTTTTAAAAGCCGAAAGATAATGCTTTTGTAAATAGATAAATAAATATATAAAAATGTTTGTGTTATAATATGTATTATTTGAGCTGTAATGTTTTTATCATTTTATCTTTTACAATGGGGGCTAGGTTTTCATAGCAGTTAAAGTTAAAAAATAAAAATTGAATATAACTTTACCCAGAAAATGATCATGTGTTATTTTCACTAAAAATCATGTTAACAAGTAAATTAATTTTGCATCTTTTCCAAATACTTTTGAAACAATGAGTATTTTTAATGTTTACAAATCAGCCTTCACTTAAAGGTAACACACGTAACACACTTTTTTTTTAAAGGAAAGGAAAGGAACAAGAAGGACCAGTCAAAATAAATTTTTATGGTAATCAACATTATGCAGTAGTGATTTCGATTGAGCTTAAAGGGGTAGTTCACCCAAAAGTAAATTACTGTCAAAAAAGGTAATTCTGTCATCATTTACTCAACCTCAAGCTCTTCCCAAACCTAAATGAATTTCTTTTAGCCGTTGAACACAAATTAAGATATTTTGAAGAATGTTCATATCCAAACCGTTTACGGTAGCCATTGACTTCCATAGTATTAAAAAAAATACCACGTAACTCAATGGCTACCATCATCGGTTACAGACATAATATCATTTATTGTGTTTACAGAAGAAATTCATATAGGTTTGGAATAACTTGAGGGTGAGCCAATGATGACAGAATTCTCTTTAACCTGTATTGAACCCCGGAATATGCATTTACAACAAGCCTAGGTTGATCCAACAGGGGGAAGCATTGCACCAGCATATATTAGTCAAACCCACATCGGCTGCAATAGCCCTGCACACTCACAAATCCATTTACACATAGTGCCCTATCCACCTACTCACAAACCCACACACAGTCTTCATTGCTCTTCTCTCTCCCGCTGTCCTTCTCATCTCTCTCTCATTACTTTGTTCCATGGTGTGCAAGAGCAGGCAAACTGAGATCTCTTTAGCAGTTTGGATCAACATTTTCACTCAAGCACATTCTAATACACCTGCTATTTCTTTTTAGCAAGATCTATGTCTCAGTCATTCCCATGTTGAGGAATGCATATACAGTCACACACACACATGCACACACTTACGGCGACAGATGGGGTGAGGGTATTGCCACGTCTGGTTCTCATGACAGATATTCTCACTATTTCCAATCAGCACAGATCTGTACGAGAAAGAAGACGAGGTGTGTAGATTATATAAGCATGATAAAACTAGATATTCTGTATATCAGTCACAGTTTTCTCTCTTTCTCATAAGTCTCACCCAGCTGCACATTGGTAATGGATGGTGGATCCCACGATGGCACTGCCCTGCACAGAGAGCAGCTCATCATCAGGCAAAGAACAGGACACCTCAGGCACCAGAACCGGCTCTGCTGCAAGACCTCCTCTTGGGGAGGCTGGTGGAAAAAAATCAAAATAGCATATTTATCTCTTGAGTTGAGTATGCATTAAATGCTTGGTTGCAACACATGTGCAAAGTTTTTAGAATTGTACTCTTATTCATGTTTCTTATTGTTTTAGAAAAACCTTTTCAATTTAAAGTTTCAACTTAATTATCTAAAAATGTAGGCTAGTGAAAATCAATCAAAGAGGAAAAATAAGTAATTTCCTGACACCTTGTGTACACATCTTAGTCATTAAAAAAAAGATATTGCAATAGACTTGACCTTGACACATTCACGAGGGTCTGCAGCGGTCCTCTTTATGATATCATTTCTGCTAGTAAATCATTTAGTATTTTTCTGTATTTCTTTTATATTATGATATATAAAAAATTACAGGAGCCGCTATGGGGACACAGTGATGGAAAAATATGAGGTGGGAAGAAAAAAAATGTTACAATGGTTTCGCAAAACTTTTGCACTTCCCTGGGAATTTGCGTACACGTTTTGAGCAATTAAAAACTGGTGATGGCAATAAAATGAGATTGAAAATATATATATATATATATATATATATA